TATAATGGAGAAGTGAAATACTTCCATGACAAAGAACAACTAAAGAATTTCATGATGACAAAGCCAAACCTACACAGATTACTAAATGATGTCCTAGAGAGGGAGCAAATTGATCACAGCCCCATGAATGAGAATGGAAAGAACCCACCAAATAGGGCAAACAATTAAACACAGGACAATAAGAGGTAAAAAAAAAAAAAAGAAAAGAAATACTTCTATAACTTTTTTTTTTGTACCAGGAATTGAACTCACAACCTTGCATCTGCCAGGCAGGTGCTGTGTCACTGAGATATAGCCCCAGAAAGTGGCACTGTGTTTCTAGGACAGGCTCTAATAATCTTCTCTATCACAGACACAACACAGTTGTAGGGAAGAAGTGGAGAAGAAGAAAAAAAAAAAAACCCACAAAGCACTATAAAGCTCTTGAACTTAACTATTGCTCTGTTGGGTCCACTTCTTATCTATTAGGGGTTTTTTTCTACTTCAAAAGCAATGAGTATTTATTTTTGAAAACTGGAAAAATGCACAGAAAATGAGAAGAAAAGTGACTCTGTGTAATTTGCTCAAGTTCTAACCACCAAATTTAGCATAGATGAGTAGCAGTGGAATTTAATTGGGCTTTTTTATTTCTTCTCCTTTAATGTTCCCTAAACTGCCCTAGAACAAAAAGAACAATTATACTTTGAAAACTAAACAAAGAAAAGAGCGGATAGGACAGTTTGTGGCAACAAAGAATAACCGCCCTGGAATTTATTCTATAGCTCCATAAATGAGAAAAAAATGAAGATAGACCAAGTTCAAATGATAAATGTCCCGTTGTGAAATGCTGTCACATTTATAATGTGGCCAAAAGCATGGAACCTTGTACAGTGAGAATATGAAGAAGAAACAGTGTCTGTACCACTGTCCTGGTGAGATTGCACACAGCACCCCTGCTGTGTTATGCCTGTCTTGCTAGAGTGCATTAGAAAGCAATTTATGAGAAAGAAGTATATTTGATTTGCCATTTTATTCTCAGTGACTAAAAAAGGGAAGCACTTGAGCTATATTTGTGATATAAATAAGAAATACCTTAGTATCACCTGATAAGTACATATAATAACTGTCACACTTTCCTTCTCTTGCCCTTTATATTGTCACTATAAAATGTGGCTGGGTAGGAGAGTTTGGTCTAGTATTTTAGTTTCCATGTAAAATGGCCATCTACATTTTCATTCAGGCTGGCTTCCGTTTACCATGACTGGTACACAGTGATCCAATAATGACAGAAGATTTAGCAGTAGCCTGACAATGTTAACTTCAAAACCCAGTTTTAATAGAATAATCTCTGTGATAAATTCCTTAAAATTTGGGCTTTGGTTTCTTTATCTGTCAGAGGAATTAATAAAACTACATTCCATAGTACACAGAATAAAAACAGAATAACCTAAGCTATAAATGCAACTTTATGCCTAATATATATTAAAATATTAATTTTTCCTGTTTTCAGATACTTCTTGATATTCAGAATATACTGTATATAGTATATATCTAAGATAGAAAGCAAAAAGAAGACTAAAAATTCTATAATTGGAATTGTTTTTGCGCCAGAAAGCTATTAGTTCATTGGTAATCCTACCACAGTTTACAGGCATGCCAATGTTAAGATGGAAGGATATTCATGGACGCAAATTCATTTTTGCTTGATTCTTAAATTTATTAGTAATCAAAATAAGAAAAAAGGTAGAAAGAAAAACTTCTTTTAATAAGTTCAGAGAAAAAGGAAAATACAATTTACTACTCTAATAAATATAGTATATATTCATTTACTACCCTTACCTTCAATTTTATAAAGTGTATCATGTAACATTTAACAACAAATACCTATTACTTTAATATTTAAAAGGATAAAGGTAGTTTGCAATGTAACCTGAAAAAAAAAAAAAAAAAAAAAAAAAATAAAAATCAGGAGCAAAAAAGAAAAAAAAAAAAAAAAGGATAAAGGTGAAATGTCACTCATAAAATGGCTTTTATCCATAAAATATATTCTGCGTTTTCTGGGTTAGTCCTTCTATGAATAAAAATTTTCTTAATAGTACACATTTTGTAATATTAATTTTTTTCTAATGGTTTTTCATTTGAAGTTTTAACACATGATAAAACTGAGAATTAACCTAAATTTTTGGAATTAAACTGAATACTTCAAAATTAAAAGCTATTATTTGAAAATGCAGAGCTGGGAGCATAGCTCCGCGGTACCACAAAGGCTTACCATGTGTGAAGCCATGGGCTCAATCCCCAGTACAAGACAGACAGATCAACAGATGAGAAAAAACTATTTCACATCTACTTATTTAGGGGGAAAATCTATATTTGCTTTTGAGCTTTACACATAAGACTAATTCATTTATTTTAAGTCTGTCCTGTGGGTACCTGTTGTTACATCATGTTCTCCTTCCCCAGCATGGTACAAAGCAGTGGTTTCACTTTTCTTCTTTTAATGTTGGATAATACAAACTATTTTGATTTAAGCTTTCATATAATGTTTTATACAGGTATAAGCCAGGGATGTTAATATTTATGAGTCTAACTTTGTGCCTTAAGATGTTTCTAAAAATACTATTTCATTTAGGTAACAAATTTATGTAAATATGACTTACTAGCAAGTAGCATTATTTTTTAATGTTATAGGCTTAGATAGTAAAAATTCACCTCATTTCAGTTTTGATTTTGATAGTATTTTACATGATTTTCAATACCTATGTAATAATCATTGACCAAATCAGTTTCAAAACATGGGCTTCAGGGCTAGGGAGATGGCTCAGTGGAATAAGTGCTTCCCTGGTAAGCACAAAGGCCTGAATTCAATCCCCGGTTCCGCGAAAAAACCAAAACCAAAACAAACAAACAAAAAACAACATGGGCTTCTGTTGTTATTAAAGGAATTAAAAATTTTGAACTTGTATTCTTCTTCTTCTTCTTTTTTTTTTTTTTTTTTTTGGTGGAACCGGGGATTGAACTCAGGTCCTTGCGCTTGCCAGGGAAGCGCTTATTCCACTGAGCCATCTCCCCGGCCCCCTGAACTTGTATTCTTCTTAAAAAAATATTCTCGGGAGGGGCCTGGCCCTAGCTCAGTCCTTTAAGTGGCTGCTTCCACAAAGCTGTCAGCCTCAGGTTCCTGGAGTTCGAACCTCACAACTCTCCAGCTGGCCAAAAGTGCCCTGAAGGCATTCGAGGAAGGAAAAAAAAAAAAAAAAAAAACCCTTGGGGGACTCAGGTCAATAATTTCTGACATTGCCAGTTAAACAGAAAACCCAATGATATTATGGGCTTCTGTACTTTTTTAGAACATTTTGCTGAGTTTACACACCTATAATATTCAACAACGGAACTTAAAAAAAAATTGGGGTATAACTATGAATGTCCATTTTGTATCTGTGTATTCAAAGTGGTTGGGATAGATATATAGTTGCATTCTCTTAATGAATAGAATGATTTTTTCTAATGGTGTTTGTAAGTAGGATCACAAGTCTGCATCTTGTACAGCAATTAACCCCTGAGAAGAATGTATGCAGTGTATTATTTGTTGAAACTGTACTTTCGATTTGATTTGAAACTGTCTCATTGCTATATGTTTATCAATAAAACTTTGAAAAGAAAAAAAAAATATTCTCGGGGCTGGGGAGATGGCTCAATAGAATAAGCACTTGCCTGGCAAGTGCAAGTGTCTGAGTTCAATCCCTGGTTCTGGAAAAAAAAAAAATTTCACCTTCCCTGAATAGCTTAAGTAGAGCAAAACTGAAAATACAAGATAAATAAAAACAAATTATTTTTAAAAATCTATAAGAATATAGCCCAATATCTAAAACTTAAATATTATTCTAGCAAGAAGACAGAAAACTTAATAGAATCCTTATATTCCTAGATTATGAGGTAACAAATAATGTGTAATTTAACGTTTATTTGAAAGTTCTAAAAGACTTTTTTTTCTGTGATGTACACATTAGGACAATAATACATCAACCCAAAATAAGACTAAAATATTAATCAAGAAATAGGACTTTTATTAAATTTCAGATTTTATTCACATTCATAAGAAAAAAGGAAAATAAACTCTTTCATTTCTACCTCTAATTTCCCTTCTGGTAGGTTTCTAAATAAGCATAATTATAACATTTCTTAAATATTGAAAGCCTGAGGATTAAAGGCACATTTGCCTTCCAAAAAAAAAAAAAAAAACTTCTCTAATAGTCTAAATCTACTCTATTGAAATATAGTAAGAGCTGATACAAAGAGGGCAATAATTCCAAATACAAAGAAAAAAAGTATCTCTCAAAAGAATCCTAGCTGGGCTGGGGAGATGGCTCAGTAGAATAAGCGCTTCCCAGGCATGCACAAGGGCCTAAGTTCAATCCCTGATTCCGCCAAAAAGAAAAAAAAAGAATCCTACTTAAGGGCTGGGAAGATAGCTCAGTGGCAAGCACAAGGTCCTGAGTTCAATCCCTGGTACCAAAAAAAACAAACAAACCAAGAATCCTACTTAGCAATGATAAAGCCCACAATTGTATCCACTATGAAGTTGTAACTAATGTACTTACTGAGAAATGGTGTTGGTATCTAGGTCAACACAACTGACATCTGGTGGAGGGTCATAGAGATCAAAGTATCTCGAGTCAATGCCCACTATGAACGGACATGGCGCACTCAAGACATCTGCTAAAGCCAGTGGGCAGAGAGGAACATACGGGCATGGCCAGTGGAATGGGAAAATCATCTTGGATAAACAAAGGGTAGAAGAATATTTAGCTTTTTGATAGTGAAGAATAATTTATCACAAAAGCATTGCACACATAAAAATTCTCTTTTAAGTATTATTACTCAAAGACTAGTACTTGTTAATAAATTAATTATAACTAAAAGGAATTTAAAACTGCTTCAACAACATAAATTCATTATTCTCTGAAATTAACATTATGATACTCTTACATTACATAAATAAAGTAAGTTTAAACTAAATTGAGTCCTAGGAAAAAATAATGATACTCACAGACACTAGCGCCTCTGTCACACTAGTAAGCACGGAAGGCCGTAAGGAATGGATTAGAATTTTATGTTCTGTTACTGCAAATACCAGTAGTGTCACAGCATTTTCAGGACCTAGATTCTGTAGTAGTGTTGAAAACTTGCCACCACTGTCAATCAAACAAAAACATATAATTAAAAGTAAAAACCTAAACAATTTACATCTAAAGTAACAAGATTAAAGTTCATGATTAGGGTGTGATCTGTGCTATCTACTTAACTTTATTTATTTATTTATTTATTTATATCTACTTAACTTTAAATGATCGTTACTCTTATGCAGACAATCAAAAAGACACTATGAAAATAATGAAGTTAATAAGGTTTGAAAATCATTCACCTGACTGGCATTCAATATGGAAAACAAAGAGTCATCTCCATTTTATATAAAAAGATTTTCTAGGTAGACAATATCTAAATGCCTAAAGAATTAAATAAAAGAGATGCCTTAGCTGAAAGCAAATTGTTTAATGTAAGAATTTTTTTTTAATGTATTTGGTACAGGGTCTCACTATGCAGTGATCCTTGCCTGGTCTTGGTGGCTGCCTGGGCACTCCTGAGGCGGGGCTAGCACAGCATGTGGTTCCCAGGATTGAACCTGGGTCCTCGCTCTTGCCTAAGGAGGTGCTTGGACGGCTGAGCTATCTCTGTAGCACCCTAATGTAAGTTGTTTGAACAAGGCATATCTTCTGCTGTAATTATCAGAAAAATTATGACTTATAGGCCTCTGCCCCTTAAGGTAAATACACATATTAAGGTTTGGAGCTATGAGTTGGGGATAGTGACACGCCTGTAATCCCATCTACTTGGGAAGCTGAAACACAAGGGCTGCAAGTTCAAGGTCAGCCCACACAATTAGTAAGATCCTGTCTTAAAGTAAAAAATAAGGACTGGCAATATAGTTCACCATTCCTCGGGTCCAATCCTGAGTGTCACATAAAAATCTGGATTTATAAACAGACAATCTTTACTACTGTCATAATAATAGAAAATCAAGAGCTACAAAGTGATAAGGTACACATAACAGAGCAAATTAATAAAACAATGAACTTAGATATTCTATATGGTCACAAAATACTGGGTGGATAATGTACTTCAGTAAGGCAAACAGTATTTTTCTTAGAAAAATAACTGATTAATTGATTAGACAAATCACAGCTAATAATAACATTTTCTAAGAGAAAGGAAAACCTATGTCCACAAAAACTTCTGTGTTTTCACAGCAGCATTAATAACAGTAGCCAAAATGTTAAAATCTCCCAACTAATGAATGGACAAATATAGCGTATCCATGTAAGAGAACATTAGCTAGCAATAAACAGAAGTAAAGGAATGACACAGGCTACATCATGGATAAGCTTTGGAGACATTAAGTTAAAGAAGCCAGGAGTACGGAAGCCACACATAGCTTGATCCATTTATATGAAATGTCCAAAATAGGCAAATCTATGCCGCAAGAACATAGGTAAGTGGTTGCCAAGGTCTAGATAGGAGTTAAGTGTGCGTGTATGTGTGTACAGATGGAAACAATCAAGGAAGCTAACTGAATGCTTCAGGGTGTTTTTAGGGTAAATGCTCCAAAACTTATAATAGTGATAGCTACAAAACTGTGAATATAGCTTCTGGATTTTATATTTTAATTGAGTGAATTATATGAGATATAGACTATAGCTCAATACAATTACCTAAATGAAGTTCTTGGGGGTAAGTCAGAATCATTTATAATCAATGTTTCTAGTTTATTTTCAGCTCAAAGGTTACAAAAATACTGGTCAGTCTGAACTGAGAGCTAGTGATGAAATAATCTACAATTCTTACAAAATTAATGTCAACAACAGCAGCTGCTCTCCCTGGGCTATGTGCTCCACAATAGCTTAATCACACTGCAACTATTTGTCAGAAAAATTAAACAATTAAATTTAAAGAAATGATACTATAGTGATAACAATCTCTGAAGTTTTTAAATTAGGAAATGCACTGCTCTGTTCTGTTTAATAACTTTTTCTCATTTTCTATTAGATTTAAAATTGTTTAATGTTCTTCAGAGGGTAATTAAAGCTAAAAAATTACTTTCAAAATCTATATATAGCCTATTTATGTAATGGTACGTGCTAGATGATAAACATATACAACATACCAAACACTAGTATATTTCTTTTCTTGAAAAACTATAGGCAATCCTAAGTAAAAGGAACTTAACTAAGAAAGAAATATTTTCATTGATATTAGTTTAGCTAAGAAAGAGAATGTATTTCAATGTTATCTGAGCTCACACTAGATCGAAAGAAGCATAAACAGAAATGAAGTTTTACTTGCCTCAGTGGAAGAGGTGAAGAAACAGGCTGACTGAGAATCAGATTATCGTGAGGTGATAACTGGAAGATTTAAAATACAGTGTTTAAAATACAAAGATGAATTTTATTTTAAAAATATTTTTATTAAGACAAATGTTAAGAATACCACTCCACAGTAAATACTTATAGATAATAATGTCCACAGAGATTCCTATTTTATCAGCATAAAAAGTTAGTATCATTTGCGAAGATAATGAAAAATATATCTTGACTTTCGGCCCTTCTTACAGCTTTTTACTCTGAGCTGTCCTCAACTGTTCTCTAAGCCATTTTAACAAACTTTATTAAAAGACTAAATTATTCATTTAACAGCACAAATTCAGGATCAGTGAACTTACTGCCTGCAATGTAAATCCACGTGCTGCCTGTCTTTGTAAACACTTCTTACTGAAACACAGCCATGCTTATTCCTTAGTGCTATCTAGCTGATTCTGTGCTGTGACAGCAGAGCTAAGCAGCTGCAAAAGACTGGATGATCTGCAAAGACTGAAATATTTGTGTAAGGTCCATAATAGAAAAAGGTTGCCAGGTTCTGCTATAAAACAAATCTTCTCTATGAAGTTAGAGTGTGCAATACTTTTTCTCCTGTCCATTCTAATACATTTAACTCAGTAAATGATTGCCAAAGGCACACACAAATTTTCAAGTGCCTATTTTGTCCTTTTCTATGAGTTCAAAATATCTATCTATCTATCTAGATACCTACCTACCTACCTATTTGATACAGACCCGTAGCGATCTTCCTGTCTCAGCCTCCCCAGTGCTGGGATTACAGGCATGAGCCACTACACATGGTTTTGGAAACGGCATGGTACACCCAGGATTCCAGGGCCGGCACAGCATGCGGTACTAGGGACTGAACTCAGGACCTTGTACTTGCCTGGCAGATGCTTAGACTGCTCAGCTATCTCCTGTGCCCAATATATGTATTTGTATCTACTTTAACTCCTCAATCCTTTTTCTAAAGGAAAAATATCAGCTTTCTGGGAGAGAGTTAAAACATTAATGGACCCAAACTTCCAACATAAAATAGCATCTGGGTCTCTTTAAATCTCATTAGAATTTTCCCCATTTAAAATTAGTGTTTTTATGATATATTTTGACTGGCCAATTAATAATTCATAGGTCCCACATAGTAAGAAGGTCTTACCTGAACTAAAATCCGTGGTCTCTGAGGAGATGGAAAAGGAACTTTATGCATAAAATGAGAGATATGCCTTAAAGAAAACACAAAATTCCATTGATTCTACAGTGAACACCATGTACTATAAGGGTTAATATATCATAAGAAATCCAAGGGGAGTAACAAGCCCTCAATATGTAAGATCCTAATACTATGAAAACAAACACCAAAAATCACTTGCTCGTTACCAGTTTTGTCTGTGAAAGCCTAATAACTTCTCATCTTAATAGCTCTTATATTCAATGTTTGGGTTGTTGATGTCTCAAAAGTCATTTGAACTTTTCCCTCTTTATACAGGTAATATAAAACATGGCACACAATACATAACATATCAGTGATTTGAACACTACCAAAACAATTCATTCTTAAGTCAATATTCCTCATATTTTGGAAGAGAATTGAAATGAATGTGCCTTAGAAAACTAAGAGTTTAAATGTTTCAAAATGATGAATAATAAACTTCTCTTAACAGGTTTAAAATATCATTAATAATTTTATAATTTTCCCCAGATTAAAATGTATAAAAAGCTAGATGAAGTTGGACTCGGTTTATGCATTTTTTAAATCTCAACACTCTGGGAGGCTGGGGCAGGAGATTCTTAAGTTTGCGCCCCTAGGGAACTTATCAAGATCATATCTTGTTGAGGACAAGGGCCCTGCATTCAATCCCCACTTACAAAACAAAACACTAAATTGAGAAGAGAAAAAATGCAAACACAGTAAAAAAAAAAAAAAAAAAAAATCTTTTTGTCTGTTTCTAGGAATAACTGTTCTTTTTAAATATTTTTTTCCTTCAAACATAATTTGAAAATCATCTCATTTTTAGAAATGAGATAATTTTAACTGCATAAAGCTGGAAGGGATATTTAATAATTTTACAGACATGTCTGACTACGTACAAGATACTGCTGGACAAGGGAAGAAATGCAAAATAAAAGCATGAAAGCACCGGTGCCTACCATTAAGGTACGCACAATCTTGGAAGAAAAAAAAGTAAGAGGAATGAATAGCACAGGACACACATCAGCCTGAGTAATAAAGAGCAGAGAGAATAGCAGAAATCAAAGTGTAACCCACAGACCACTGAACACTGCCAAGACCCATTCAGGGAGGATCTGCATGGGCAAAGCTGTTTTCATGATGGTACTAGGAGGCCATCTGCCTTTTCGCTGTGTTGACAATTGCATGGGTGTCCAAAATCACTGTGGATAAAACTGCTGCCACCTCGCTGAGAAACAAGGCAGCAGTTGCACCAAACTGTACGAGTAGTTCTCGGATTCTTTACTGCTACATACTCACAGTAGAAGAACCATCAGTTTAACTTAATGTCTTTGAAGCAGTAAAAATATTAAATCTTGATTCTGTGGTATACTTTAAAAACTACTCTGTGATGCAAGAGAAGTATGCATAAGGCACTTTCGTTGGATACATTAGTATGACGATTGCCTTGACTGTGGAAAAGCACTTAACAGGGCTGTGAGCGAATGAGCTGGTATTTCCCGCCCCCAGAATGCCATGTTTTGCTTCAAAGATAACTGAAAAGTTAAGGTCACACCATGCCATGCTGGGTGTTCAGAAGGTATTTTCCACTACTTTGAAAATGAACAAGTGAGCCTGGTGCTTCACAGAAAATAATCGCAGTAATTATTGCTAGTGATTAATTCAAACTTTCAAATAAAAAAAAAGAATTCAGCCATTATGAACCTGGTGACTCCCTAATACTCAAAATCTTTTTTAATGAGACAAGAGTGACACTAACAGATGTGGCTACTTTATACCAATGACGATGTATGTCTACATTTGGGAGTACTTAACTCAGTGAACAAGGATTTCCCCAATAACCTATAAACAATGCTACAAAATCATGATGAGTAAAAGGTCCACACAAAAAGTTAATGTAACACAGAAAGCTTATTAATAAAATTTCAGATTCTATATTGCAAATAACCTGTAAGAAATCACCACCTTTCAAGCTTTAGTGTAGTGTCAAAAAATATTCACAACTGGGGCTGGGGAGATGGCTCAAGGGAATAGGTGCTTCCCTGGCAAGCGCAAGGGCCTGAGTTCAATCCCCAGTTCCGGAAAGGAAAAAAAAAAAAAAATCACAATTAAAATGTCTCCCTCTTTTATCTCCATCTTCATGAGGCTAGATTTTCTTCCCACACTCACCCAACTACTGCAACAAATTGAATGCAGAACCATAAATAAGAACCCAGCTGTGGGGGTGGCCAGAGAGCTCAGCAGATTAAAACACTTAAGAGGGTTTGATCCCTGGGCCTGCCATGTGGGCCCCTTGCTGAGAAGTGATTGAGATTGGGCGTGGTGGCATGGGCCTGTAATCCCTGTGCTTCCGAGGCTATAAACAGGAAGATCACTATGAGTCCGATCTATGTAGTGAAACCCTATACTTTAAATACCAAAAAGAACCCAGCTGTGTTCAATTAAGGTAAGCAATAGAGATTTACAAAAATGTAAAAAATGCTATTCTTTTCACTTGATTGGAAAAAGTTGTTTTCAAAAAAAAGATGTTTATATTAGTATAGTATGTAATAAATTTGTTTTATAATGAATTATAAAGTAAATAATTTTAAAGTTCTAAGTTTTAGTTTCCATGATAGTAAACACTGATAGATATGACACATAAAGAAGACCTCTTCTGCATTTTTTTTCTTTTTTTTTAAAAGAAGCCAATCTTATTTTTTAAGTTTATTTTATTTATTTATGCATGTGTGCGTGTGCGTGTGCGTGTGCGTGTGCGTGTGTGTGTGTGTGTGTGTGTGTGTATGGCCAGCTCAGCCCACCAGGGGGCGGGGCGGGCTGGCATGTGGTGCTGGGGGATTGAACTGTGGTCCCTGTGCTTTGCTAAGCTTGTTCTAAGTAGGTGCTTTAGACCACTGAGCCATCTCACCAGCCCCCATTTTTTATTTTCTTGATACAGGTTCTGACTATGCAGTTCAGACTCCTAGTGATTCTCCTGTCTTAGCCTCCCCAGCACTAGGATTACACGTGTGTGCCACCATGCCCAATTTTGGGGCTTGCATAGCCAGCTACTGAACTTGGGACCTTAGAGCTTAGACCACCCAGCCCTTTTGCATCATTTTTTAAGACTATAAAGGGATCCTGAGACCAAAAGGTTTAAGAAGTGCTACTTTAGAATACTGAGATGAGTTAAAAGGAGTAAGGAAAATTAATACTGTACATGGGTGCACTTCTAATAATTCCTTCCTTTACATCTGTCACTATTCGGAAAATTCTGCAACAGGACACAAGAACTTAGGTGACAGATGGTATAAAATAACAGAATTCAAAGTGAAGCCAAGGACCTCATAAGACAACAGTCAGAAAATGGAGATGTTTGTATCTCATTTGCATCAGATCTCACTACATGAAACATTTTTTATTTTGGTGGATGTCAACTTTATTTTTAAAGGTTCACAATAAACACAAACACTACCTAGGAATTACAAATTTAGTTACATTTCAGCTAAGAATGATGGTGCATGATTATAATCCAATCACACTGGGAGGATGAGGCAGGAGTATCACAAGTGTCATCTTGTCTATGCAATTTAGCAACTAAGACCCTGCCTCAAAATAAAATAGGGTGGGGGGCGTGAGCCTTGTACAAAGGCCCTGGTTTCAATCACCAGTATTAGCAGTAGGGTGTTCCAACATTCCTCTACATTAGGTCTCTAAACTTCATAAGAATATTTTAAAAGCCTCAAAACATTTATTCCGAACAATTCATTTCAAAATAAATCAAGAGCTGGGTGTGGTAGCACATGCCCGTACTCCCAGTGCTGGGGAGGCTGAACCAGGACAATCACCTAAGTTAGTTCAATGCCAGCCTGGGCTATGTAGTGAGCTCAAGATCAGGCTGAACTACATAGTGAAACTTTGTCTCAAAAGAAAAAAGCAAAATAGATCAAAATGTTTATTTCACTGTTATAAACAGAATTATTTTAAACAATGAAACATAACTTGAACAAGATATTACTTAAATGAAATAACTTTTTTCAAATAATTAAGAAATTCAATTTCCATATGAAATTTACTCAATTATTAGTACAAATGTACCACATAATGGAAAGGTCTGCTGAATTTTAAACCAAGAAACTTTTTACTTACTTTTCAATTGGAAGGACATGAGGTCCAGAGATGGAGTAGCGATACAGAAAAGTCAGAAACTTCCTGAATGCATCAAAAAAAGGCCAGTGAGAAAGAAGACAGATGCATTTGTTAGTGTGAATTGTTTTGGAACCATCAGACTTTCCATCTGCCAATGACAAGCCTAATAGAAGTCTCTGTTTCTCTGTGAGATTTTCTTCAGGATATGGTTCAAAAAACTGAATAGCAGCACCATAGACCTGCAAAACAAGTAATACATTCAATAAATATACTTTGTATCATCTACTCAAAATCAATTAAATATTTAGTAGTTGCTTGCTATGAGGCAGGCAAGATATAGGGACCAGAAACACTGGTGAATAGGCATCACTCTTGCTGTCCTGATGCATTTAACAACCAGCAGTAATAGTCTCATGTGTGTGCACTGCTGAATAAAAAGTGTCTTAGATTGCTTTTCTTGTGTTATTTACTTATTTACAACCAGAAATCAAATGCATGACCTTGTGCTTGCCAGGTAGGTGCAGCACTGCTGAGCTACAGCCCCAGCCTCAAGCTATATTTTAAAAATAAAGAGTAAAAACAACTGTACCAATATTCTCTGTAAGAAAATGGTTGAAAATTATTTGGTAGAAAGAGACAGAATTTTAGATAAGGCAAGACAGATTCCAACCTTTGGACAATTCATTGTTTTTCTAGACTTCAATTTCCAATGTATAAAATAAGAATGTTACAGATAGCGTTTCCAAGGTTCCTTTGAAGAAGGCCCTGGGTTCAATCTGCTGCAGCACCACCGAAACTTCTAATTCTAAATCATGTTTAATAATAATCAAATATTTAATAATGTTATTTATATGTCTTTAATAATGTCTCTTGTATAGTTTCAAAACGTAAATAACTAATGAAAAGTCATTTGATGATGAAAGCAGTCTTTCATGGTATTCACAAAATAAGTATTTGGAAGGATGGGTCAAATGAAAATTCTCTCTTCCTATGTCTCTAGATGTAATTATTTAAACTAAATGGAAGAAGTATGCATAATGGATTCAGTTTAACCAACTATTGTTTTCTATTGTTGCTTGGACTATATATGTTAAAAGTTGTAATATACAAGAAATTTGTAGATACCAAATTTGCTGAAATACACAGTACCTTTTCTGCTGAGGCTCCAGTTAACACAAATGTAGAAAATACAGGCAGCGGGTATTTGCTATTTGGTGGCCAACATTCGATAGTTGCACCCATTGGTAAACAAAATAGGGGAACAGATTCTGGTAGTGAGAATGATTCATAATCCTCTTGAGGATATCTACAAATTAGACCTATAAAACAATGATATTAGGTTGACCAGCGCTTGAATTTAGGTGATCATAATGTGAATAAGATGCTTTATTATTTTACACATTTGGAAAGCCAAAACATTGTAAATATGTTCGTCAAATAATTATGAATTTAGGGCTCATAGATTTTAATCTTCAAAAATTATAATTATTTGTATTAATTGCTTAATATTTATTAAGTTTCATCCAAAGGCTAGGTTAAGGCTAACAAGACAAAGAGAATTATCTAAAAACATACATATATACTCCTAAAAATTCAGTTTATGGTCATACTATCTTAAAGATTATTTTTAAAAAATTTAATATGGTTATTTGTATATAGCTACCTCATCAGCTCTCAGTAACTTTTCCCTCAAAAGGATTTATACAGTAAAACACATCTGTCTATATGTAAGTTTGAGGGCAAAAACCAGGAAATTACTCATAAAACTAGCAGTCCTATTTTTAAAATGTCTTCACAACAGTATCAACACAAACTCACTTTCTAAATAACCCTAGATTATATGAAGAAAGAATTTCAAGAAATCTGTTATTTCATGTTAGCTAAGTAAGTCTTAAAAACAGTCCAGCGGGTGTGGTGGCAGAAGCTTGTGATCCTGGAGCTCGGGAGGCTGAGGCAGCAAGATCACTGGGAGTCTGAAGCCACTCTGAGGCTACACAATGAGCTCAAGGTTGAGCTATACCATGTTTCAAAAAACAAGCAGAAGAAGAAAGAAAAAAAAATGGTCCAGGTACCTTCTGTTGAATGCATCCTAGGAGCAGGGCTTTACGCTGAATTTTGTGGAACTAAAAACAAAACATAAGCTCTCTGACCTTGAAACTTTATGGGTAAGTGGAAAATTATTACTACACTGGGACACAAAAACTAATTTGGGAATAAGAATGGTTAGTTCTTGGGCTGGTGAGATGGCTCAGTGGTCTAAAGCGCCTACTTAGAACAAGCTTAGCAACGCAAAGGGACCACGGTTCAATCCCCCAGCACCACATGCCAGCCAGC